CGACACACCTCATGTCGACACCTCATATTGACACCTCATGTTGACGCCTCATGTCGACACACCTCATGCCGACACACCTCATGTCGACACCTCATGTTGACGCCTCATGTCGACACCTCATGTTGAGGCATGGCGTGCATGTCTTGCACGGGCAGGAGTGCTGGCCTCAGACAAGATCCTTTTCAAGTGAGACTAGGACTGTTTTCAACCAAGACCTTTACAAAGTAGGCCCATTTTCAAGCAAGGCCGTTTCCACGCACCAACAGAAGAGGTTCCAGAAAGAGAATCAATGGGTATTCCAAGCACACTGTGCCAATCAACTACCACTAGACATCAACGTCAGACACGTATCCGCACAACAACAACAACAACAACAACAACAACCCACCCCTCCCATCCGGCCCTAAGCAGTCTCGACATGCTCAATGCTCCTCCTCTTCTTCGGCGCGCCACCGTCCACGTCCTCGACGTGATCGGCGTAGTGCGTGTTCCGAATCGACTTGGCGCGGGACGTCGCGGGAAACGTATCCTTGACGCAGCCCGCCACGATGCCGCCCTCGAACAGCAAGTGGACCGACTCGAGCGGCACGCCCTTTGTCTCGGGCACGCAAAAGACCGTGTACACGCCCATGACGATGCACGCGGACCCGAACAGCAGGAAGGTGCCGTACGTAATGTCGGCGAGCATGATGGGTGTGATCCTGCGCAGTGTTAGTGACGGCATAGAAGATGTGAGTTGAGGGGATGGAGAGCGTACTTTGCAATCACAAAGTTGAACAGCCACTGCGTCATCAGCGCCGCCGCCATGACGAGCGTGCGGACGTGGTTGGGCGCGCACTCGGACGCGAGGACGAACGGGATCGGGCCCCAGCCGAACGAGTAGAAGACGACGAACAGGTACACGCAGATGATGGCGAAGATGGCGTTGCCGTCCAGCACGCCCGTCGGCGGATGCACCGCCTGGTTGACGCCAATGTAGAACATGGCGAACGCCTGCCCGCCCGAGCCTATCAGCAGCGACCACTTGCGACCCAGCTGCTCCGTGAAAGCCATCAGGCCGATCGCAGTCACCACAATCTTGACGATTCCATACACGCCCGTAGCGAACAAGCCGGCAGAGCCCCCGGTAAGACCAATCTGTTTGAAGATCTGGGGCGCGTAGTAGTTTATTGAGTTGGTCCCCGTCCATTGCTGGAAAAACATAAGCACAACTGCAAACGAGGAGCGGTAGAAGATCTTCTTGTTCGAGCACGCCGACCTGAGCTGCGCCATCATGGGCATCTTCTCGTGGCCGTTGAAGTCAGCAATGATGTCGTCGAGCTCCTGGATGACCTCCGCATCGTCCGTAGGCTTGCCACGAACGTGGGCGAGCGCCTTGGCCGCTTCCTCTATGCGGTTCTTCTCGACGAGCCAGCGGGGAGACTCGTTCTGGAAGACAATTCCGACTGAATGCTTGCTTAGTCACGTCCTGCCATACACTCCGAACCTCAACAACTTACCGAGAAGGATGACGCCCGGAAGCATCTGCAGCGCAAAGGGAACGCGCCATTTGGCCGAGTTGTAGCGGCTGGTGATATCCAGGTTGATTCCGTAGTTGACGAAAAAGGACAGACAGATACCAGTGACGTTGAAGAGCTGCATGCAGCCAACGCAGCGTCCTCGAATCTCCTTGGGTGCGTTCTCAGAGATGTATGTCGGCACCACGGCCGAGATAAGACCAACGCCAAACCCACCAATCACGCGCCCAATGTAAAGCTGTGTCAAGCTGGTCGTGCCCAGTGCGCAGAGTGTCTGAATCGTCGAGCCGATGATGAAGATGATGTCCGCGATGATGAGGGCCCATTTGCGGCCAAACGTGTTGCTGACGTAGAAGGATGCGAGAGCGCCGAAGAAGCAGCCGGCTTGGAGGACCGACACGATGTTGCCTTGGAGGTTCTTAAAGTTACCGCCTTCGGGATTGAGATTGAAAGACTCTTGGAAAGCGTCCATCGTCAGAACACCACCGATCAGACCAGTGTCCCATCCGAAAAGCTAGGAAATCGTCAACAGTGAAGACGTGACATGGCCGAGATACTGACCATTCCACCAAAGGATGCCACGACGGTGAGAAGGTAGGCTCGACGGTGGATGACCATATCGCGCCATACCGCAGCTAGATCAAACTTTGCCATTGTTGCGGCTCGTCGAGTCGTGTGGTGGTGTGCAGAAACTTCGCGTCGCGCAGTCGTGGTCCAATGTTGCAAAGGATCACCACGTTGGTCGCGAGGGGGGCTTGCAATGAATCTCAAACATCCGAGGAGAACATTGAGACTTATATCGCAGTCCCGAAAGCACACAAGAACCCTGATCCACTACTCCATGGGGGTCGGTACAGCATACCGCGAAAGCGTACGACATGGGGAACACTGTGGGGTCTCCAGCAGTGGAGCCGCATGTGCGGTCGGCATTTCTCCTCCAGTCAAACAGTCAAACGCCGATATCGTAGGATGGGGGGCGACGCTTCAACAGAATTGCTGATTATGCCGCACAGCTGTGCACAGAAGCGAGTGTCCAGCGACTAGGCTCGGACCAAAGCCGACGACACCCTTGCTGGATCTCGTCAGCGGGTTGCTTGATTTCGTCTGGCGTTGCTTGGACAGACTAAAATGCATCCAACAGGCGAGTTGCAGTTGTCTTGGCCTCTTGGCTTCGCGGACACTGCGATGGTGCACCGCCGCCTTTTCTCCGCGGCCATAGAAGTAAGGCCTCGGCTACGACTGACCTTCCGACAAGATAGGTACAATGCCATGGCAGCTGCCGACGGGAAAGCTGTTTTGAGTGGAAGTTGTTGACGTCTAATATTTCGAGCAGTCGAACGGCGATCTTCAAACGCCGACGCTGCCGCAAGCAGGCACCGGTAGCGAGGCTTCCTCGCCTCCACCATGTGTCACACGCGCGTCATACACCGACTCCAGGTTTCCCTCCACATCGGCCGAGTAAAGTTTGCGGGGAGCATTCAATGAATATCGGTGTATGCTCCATTGATCTACTGTATGTGTGGTTATGAGAGGAAATCGATGCGCTCGCTCACCCTTGTTCGAAGGCAGGTTCTGCAGCACGTTACAAGTTCGCCTTCTCTCTCTGCTCTGGCACTTGTGTAATCAGCTTCTCGTGCTCAATTGCCGACGTTAGGTTCTCTAACACCAGCAGCTCCATGTCACGCTGTAACAGTCAGTCGAGTCAGTAGCGTGCGGCATTGTTACTGACCTGAGTCTCGAATGTTGCCGTTCCAACATGGGGCAGTAACACTGCATTCTCGCACTCCAGTAGTCCAGGGTGAATCTCAGGCTCCTCCTCGAAGACGTCCAACCCGGCTGTCCAGACCTTGCCGCTTTTCAGCGCGTCGACCAACGCTGCCTCGTCGATCAAAGCTCCTCGCGCCGTATTCACAATTATAACGCCGTCCTTCATCTGGTCGAACTCGGGTTTGCCGATAATGTGCTTCGTCTTCGGATTGAGCGCCAGGTTCAGGCTTAAGACGTCTGATGTCTTGAGCAGCTCCTCGAAGGTTACGTATGTCGCGCCGTTCTCCTCACTAGAGGGCAGTTGCCTGCGATTGTGGTACTGGATCTTCATCCCGAACGCTTTCGCGCGCGTTGCGACCGCGGAGCCGATTCCGCCCATGCCGAGGATACCGAGTGTCTTGTTCTTCGGGTCGTGGCCGAGGGCGAACTTGCCGCGCCATTTCCCTGCTCACATGAGTAAAGTTCTCGGATGCTCAGTCGATGTACTGACCTCCTCGCACTGCCGAGTATGACTGGTGGATATTACGAAGTGCGCCGAGCATGAGGAAGATGGCGACGTCGGCGGTTGCGTCGTTGACCGCGATAGGCGTGCTTGATACTTGGATGCCCCTCTTGCTGCATGCTGTTACGTCGATGTTGTTGTACCCGGCACCGTTGTGGCAGATGAATTTCAAGCTCTTTGGCAGCACTTCGAGGAGCTCGTCATTGAAGTCGCCAGTTAACGGGTTGGAGTCATTGCTGCGGTACAGAGCAAAGACACCGTCAAATTCACCGGCCTTGCACTTCTTGATGAAGTCTGCGCGATCGCCCTCAGGGTACTCATGGAGCTTAGAGGCCACCTGCGAGATGCTCTCCCACTCTTTCCGCGTGTGGACAAGCTTGCCAATCAAAAGCGCTGCTCGTTCAGGCATGTTGTGCAGGGCTTGATATTGTGTGAATCGATATGTACAAGAATCCAAGTCTGGAGGGGCAGCAAGAAGTGGGAGAAGCTCTAGATGGGCCCTCGCAGCAGCGGGACTTATACCCTCTTGCATGCCTAAGCAGGCGCGTTATCTCGGACCGAGCTGCCGTTCGGAGTGTCTATCGGCGCTTTCTGAACGTGGTTACTGTCTACGACGCAACAGAAGCCCTTGTAAACGCGTGTGTAGTACGTTGTAATGTTATAGGTGGGCCTGCTACACACAGCGTTGTTGCCAGTCCTCAGGTTAGTGTTGTGTTTGTCTACGGACGCGACTTCCTCAAAAGTGCCCCACCACAACAACGCTACGTCATACACTGATGCGCCAGCTCATGCGCATCGTCGAGCTCTACTTAGCGAAAAGCCGTTCAAATAAGGAAAACTGCAGGAGACAGTCGACATTGTGGGCTACCTATCTGCAATGAGGCTCTTCGGCGTTTGGTTGGTAAAATCGAGTTGCCGACACCCCCTCCACTGTCCAGTCGCCGACCGCTTACATAGCTAAGTAGCGCTTCTCCGCATTACATGTGACGATTGTTGAGCGGCAGACTCCACAACTCAACTCATTTAGTCAGCCAAAGGTCATCAGACAATTGCTGCCTTGTTGCCTGGAGCATGATCATGGTCGAGGCAACCGCAAAGCAGTAAGTTGTCGGAGGGCAATGTGCGCCGATGACCCGCAACTGCACGCCTGGTGCCATACCCCGACACATTGAAAAGACTCTGAACGATACACATTGAGCTTGAGATAGCAAGTTTCCTCTACAGCTGCCTTTTAGTCAACTGCATATTAGTCCACACGCACGCCACAACAAGAAACACCATGGAGCTCAAAAACATTGCCATACTCGGAGTACGTATAGCCGACAGCGGTCGAGGTTGCATCTAAAACATCACACCGCAGCCTGGAGGAAACGTTGGAAACGCTATTATTAGAGAGCTACTACAAGACGGCTCAAGATTCCAGACCACCGCAATCACACGCCCGGATTCAACATACGCCCCGCCCGAGGCATCCAGCATCACACACAAAACCGCGGATTATAAGACTTTGTCCTCTCTCTCAGAAGCATTCGCTGGCCAGGATGCAATTGTGAACTGCATCACCGGCGGCGCCACCCAATATGATCCCTCGAAGCTGATCATCGACGCCGCCGTCGCCGCAGGCGTGAAATTCTTCTTTGCAAACGAATTCGTCGGATACATCGACAGTCCGCAGTTCCGCCGTCTACCAGAAGTACTCGCCGGCGCCAAGTTCAGGATCAGAGAGTATCTGCGAAAGCTCGCCGTGAGCGGCGACATTGCCTGGACGAGCTTGAACGGTGGTCCGTTTTTTTGACATGTGGCTCATGAAAGGACCAGCGGGGTTTGACGTTGCAAATCGCAAGGCAAGAGTTTATGGGACAGGGCAGAATCCGCTATTCTGGACTCCATTGTCGGGCATTGGACGCGCTGCCGCGAACATGCTGAGGAGTCCAGACACTGTACAGAATCGACCGATCTACATATGCCCGTTCGTCAAGGGAGAGCTTACGCAGCGATCGCTCCTGGCAACGCTTCAAGAGGTTTTTGACACCGAGTTCGAGGTTGAGGAAGTTGATCTCGTGAAGATCAACAAGAACTCCAGGATCGCTTTGGAGAGAGGGGAAGGGGCCAAGGCTATGAAGGGCCTTACTGTCAGCAACCAGTTTTACGAGGAGGACTGTGGAAACGATTTCAGCCATCTGATCGAAAACGATCTCATAGGTGTGAAGACGATGAGTGTGAGAGAAGCGGTGCGAGGCGCGATTGCGAGGTGGGGTCAAGACTGTACTATTGTGGAGGGTTTGTTCAGGGTCGAGGCTTGCGAGGTTTAGCAAGGACGACAGTGAGTGGTAGCTGGTACTAGGTTTTGAATTTAAGATAAAAGAGGGCTGAGACCGTTGGGCACAGTGTAACACTGCATGCCCATACTGAACTATCACTGGTCTGAGTGCTGCCGAAGTATGTAAGGACGGCTGGTTTCTACGCCTTCATGCAGCTTACGTGAATGGTGCTTACTAGCAAATGATCTGATTGATCTAACATCGACTCATAGCACCACCACTGTGTATATGAACACGGTCTGCCCCACTAATTATTCCCAGCCTCACCATTAGCTTTCTCCAATCTCTCCATCCGTCAAAGCCGTGTTTCGGCCTGCCTTTATTTCGGTGTTGTTGGCGACCTTTGCGCTCCATTGCGATACTCAATCTTGCATTCCACCGCTCAAGAAAGTCAAGGCTAGTACTTACTGGAAGGTCATTCGCAATCCCCTAAGGAAATAGCTGACAGCAAAATAGGGATGGTCTGGGTGGGCCTTGGTCAAAGTTCTATATAGCAGTTGGTCGTCCACCCCAGAGCTTTCGAGGTGTGACCAACCTGAACTCGCCACTAAATCAACTTCCCATCACCTGCCAGCATGACAACAATACACCTGAAGGTCTGTATCAAGCATGCTTGGACAGAAGTATATTTCGTTACTAAGACTTTACTTCGTGGAGAGATGCAGGACCTTGCAGCATCCCGCTCCCATACTTTGACCCTTCTAACTCGGCAAGTGCCAGGTGGGGATTGGATGCAATCAATATCTTGGGTTGAGTTTTCCTCAAAGAGATCTACGTTGTCGTTGAATTTTCCCGTGCGAACTTTGCGATTGCGCAGGCTAGGTCTGGAGACCAAGAAGACCTTTTCGCTATTTACAATACATCATGTGCTGGAAGAATTGGAGAATATGCCCGCCGGATGCCCTGTCCGAAAAGCACGACCAACGACTCTGATCAAACAGCAGGCAACTATGACTCTTGAGGCAGCGATTCTGGTGCCACGCTATCCTCAGGTGCATATATCGGTATCATAATCGGGACCACGCTGGGAGCGTTATCACTTCTTGCATTGCTTCTTGCGTAGAAGAAGGGCTGGTGGTTCTTCCGCAAGGACCGCCCAGAGCAAGATCGCTTGGACAAAGCGGAGGTTCATGGCGACGCGAAGCCGAGGGTGGAAGCCATGGTGAAGGAAAGAGCAGAACTACCGGTAAACGAACAGACTCAGGAAGTTGCGGGGTCACGACCACAGGCAGAGCTCGTCGGAATCCACGGGCTGCACTGGCTTCATAGTGAGACGCGATAGATCAACGTGCACGAGAACTACGTGGCTAACAACAAAATTTGACGGCTCATACTGTTACTTTCAGATGATGACTAATCCATCATCACTTGACGTACCCGAATCTAGCGTCGAGAATTGTTTCGCCGATTTTGTTCACTGCTCTTAATCAGGCTCTAAACCAGGCTATCTGGGATATCGACAGCATTGAGGACCCGTACCAAGTGAACCTCGCCAGTTATGCCAGTACTCTCATCACCCGGATCCCGTGCCCTGCAAAGCCCCGGTCCTTCCGTCGAATCCTGCTGACCGACTTTGAATAACACGACATCTCATCGATGAACTGACAGACTGTAATAACGGGACAGTTGATCGGGGATACCACTCTCGTTGTGGATCTGAATTCATACTCTGAGTCATCCCGAGGTTTTTGGAATCTCGGAAGAGACGCAACTGCCTCTCGCGCAATTGATTCAGCCTTGGCTGCAACCAGAGTACCTGAAGAAGTCTGCAAAACTCTGTAGCAATCTTTCAATCTCGTCTGGGATACCACGGCGAAATTCAATCGCCCGAATTACGAAGGACATTCGTGACTACTGTAAGAAGACCCAACAATCGATTTCTAGATCTGTAAGAGTGGTACCGAACTGTCAAACACTCTCTTCCACATGCCCCATCTCGGTGTGTTGGTTGAACAATTTTGCAGGGAACATGCATTACTTTAAACTACGAGCGAGCCTTTATCGATGTCATCCGACAAGAAACTGACGTGACTAACCTTCCACTACCTATAATGACTCATAGGGTTATTAGGAACTAGGTAGTGTCGGAGTTGCAAGGCAACAATGCTTATCATGAGTTTGCTGTTGATCCAGTAAACTGAACCGATAAGTGTGGACAACGCGATGGCTGGGATTCCAAGGGGGAGGTTCTACACTTCTGTGGGTTCAGCGATTCGCATTAAAAATGCTAACGCTGAGTCTTCCATACATCCCATCGAGCGCCGTGCAAAAATGGATGTTTCGCTGTCCACGGCACGTGATGGCATAACCGATAGCCTCGGAAGCTATGATACTTACTTCGTACATCCCTGCAAATGTTTCGATATCCTACGTCACAGCGTTGACCTGCATTTCGGTGTTGCTCGGACGCTTGATTCCGAGCCGCCGCGTCACAGCCCCTGGACTACACAGTACGAAGTAATTTATCAGCAACGCTTAGCCGCGATCATCGGCAGTTGTAAACACTGCAAACGCATGATAGGCGCCATTACAGTCCCTGAGGATCGCTGAACAGGATGACATTGTGAGCACGATGTTTGCGACATAGCGGCGGCGGCTTGTCAAGGTACGATCTGCTGTGATGCAAGGTGTCAGTACCAACACGGCATATGCGAGCCATCCTGCATCGGTTGCATTACGGCGGATTATAATGCTGGACTACATATACGAAGCCGAGTAGCGTCACTAAGTATTGCAGTTGTATCACACATTCTCAACCTTTCGCTCTTTCAACATGCTGTCAATGGCTAAGTGCCGCCTTCTCACCTGGGCCGCACTCTCTGCGTCAAATGCTTTTGCACACCCTCTTTTCAATGGCCGGCTTGTGACTCGAGCAGATGAGCTTCTGAAAGAGTACGACTATGTAGTTGTTGGAGGGGGCGCGTCTGGTCTGACCGTCGCGAATCGACTGTCCGAGCAGTCCGGTAAGAAGATCACGATCATGCGCGTCAAATAGTAAATTTTGACACTACGCAGCTGTGACCGTTCTTGTCATCGAAGCCGGCCAATTGTAATTCTCTTCTGTGTCATCTGGTTACTCTGGTACTCACATGCGCACAGTGACCAAAACGAAGACTTCGTTACCATCCCTGGTCTTGCAGGCGGAGCTGTGGGCACGAAGTACGATTGGAACACCACATATGCCGCAAGCGAGTTCCTGGGTGGGCGAAATGTATCAGTCGCGCAAGGAAAAATCGTTGGTGGCTCTACGAAGTTGAACCGTATGGTCTTCGATCGCGGTGCGAAGTCGGATTACGATGGCTGGGAGGCACTTGGCAACGAGGGCTGGAACTGGGAGAGCTTGCTTCCATACTTCAAGAAGGTTCGTAGCGCTCAGAACTGCTTACATCAATTATTTACACACATAGAACGAGATCTTCTCCCCTCCCGTAGATGAGATCCGGGACGAGTACAACATTACCTGGGACGAGAACGCGCATGGCTACGAAGGTCACATGCACTCCACGTACTCCCCGTTCATATGGCCCACCACAAGTCAGTGCAAAAGATCTTGCGCATCGCCTCGAAAGGATAATAAGCTAATCGTAAACAGAGAATTTGGTTGAAGCAACAAGGAGCCTGAACATTCCAATCCCTCACGATCAGGCCAACGGCAATGCTATTGGCGGTTATTTCACCCCTCACAACATGGATCCAACCGAGTACAGACGTTCATCTGCAGACGAGGCATACTATGACACCGCTGCAAAGCGGGAAAATTTTCATCTCATTGCCGGCCACCAGGCGACTCGAATCTTGACGTACACCAATAGCACTGTCAAAGCAACGGGCGTTGAGGTAAATACATCGTTCCCTCTACGCACGTCGATGGCTCACATGTGCACAGTTTGCTGCTTCGTCAAACGCGACTGTCCAGTCCGTAAAGGCAAAGCGGGAAGTCATCCTAGCCGCCGGAACCCTCCACACCCCGCAGCTTTTGCAAGTCTCTGGTATCGGTGACCCTGCACTGCTCTCGAATATCGATGTTCCCACTGTTGTCAATCTTCCAGCGGTCGGACAGAGTCTGCACGACCACGTATACGTGGCCGTGGTCAATGCGAGTGAGTAATTTGTGTGTTCCGGGCGAATTGAGCTGACGAAAGGCCAAGTCAACACTACCCTTGCACAAAGCAGCCTATTGACATCGAATGCTACTTTTGCTGCCGAAGCTCGCCATCAATACGACAGCGAGAAGCGAGGGCCCTACACCTCCCCTACTGGCGACTTCCTCCTCTTCCTTCCCCTTTCAACATACACTAACGAGAGCGCCACGATCCACGCCGCTGCGCTTGCCGCCGATGCTTCGTTATCTCTTCCATCTGATGCCCCTGCGGAAGTCGCGGCTGGTTACGCAGCCTCTTATGAGTCGCTGAACTCTAAACTCCTTGCCGATGACGCCGCGTTTCTCGAAATCCTCTGGTCAGACGGCGTCATGGTGCTCGGTCTGGAGCACCCATATTCACGCGGCAGCGTCAAGGCAGGTTCCAAGAGCATGTTCGATGCGCCCATCGCCGATGCCGGGTTCTTGCGCAACCCGCTAGACACCGTCCTCCTCCGCGAAGCCTTGCGTTTCTCTCGTCGCCTGGTCGCCCAGCCCTCGATTGCCGAACTGAACCCCTTCGAAGCTGTGCCTGGTGCAAATGTCACTTCAGATGCGGATATTGATGCGTATATTAAGAACAGTGCGGGTACCCTCTGGCACCCTGCTGGAAGCTGCAAGTTGGGCAAGCGTGAGGACGGTGGTGTCGTGGACGCAGAATTGAAAGTGTATGGCATTGAGGGGTTGAGAATTGTGGATGCGAGTGTGTTCCCCATCCTTCCGGCGGCTCACACAATGACGACTGTGTATGCGGTCGCAGAGCGGGCGGCAGATATCATGAAGCGTGTTGGTAAGGAACACTGAAGCGCTGAAGCGCTGAGCTGTTTTAAGAAGGTCCCGTATTCTCTTCAACTGTAAAATATGTGCACAAAGCTCAGAATGCAGCCAGATTGCTGTGTTGTGGGATTGCAAAAAAGCCATCAATTCGAGTGAAGTGTGCTCGTGAAAGCGCCCTCAGACCAAAAAAGCAAGATGTACAGATCCCAGACACCACGATGAAATATATGAGCCACCATCTTCCTATCGTCCTCGACCGTACCTGTCCAGCAGGCACCCGCACTTTTCGCGAGCTACTTCATCGCAACCACCCCGTTGTCGCATATGCCCGCAACCCTTCCAAGATCCCCAGCGATCTATCCCCAAATCATCTTCTTATAGTCATCCAAGGCGAACACAGCATCAAGAAGATCCTCATCATGGGCACCGTGGCCATTTCGCGTCCTGAGGACTTCTTTGTCATCATGAGGCCCGTAGTGCTGGCATACCTTAAGCTATTTGCAAAAAAACTTATAGTTAACGCAACATCATCAAAATTGAGCAGTTGTTTGAGAACGAGGCTGCGGATCTTGAGTGGACGGTCTTTCGGATTGCGGCGATTCCTAGCGAGCCTGATTGGGAGAGCTGGCGGAAGGGCAGGGAGGAAGGAAGTTGTACGCTGGGCCGATTGGGGCAAAGAGATGGACGATGAGTACGAATCGGAGCTTTTTGGCGAGGTGGATGGTGGACACTGTTGAGGGCGGGGCGGTGAAATGGGTGACAAAAATGCCTGCTGTTACGAGACTGGCAGGATCTTGAAAGCGCTTTTAGTGAGTAGTGTACGGAGTCATTAAATTTATGATGGAGGTCTTATCGCGCAAGAAGATCGATGGACTTCAACTGGAAATGTGCAATCTAAAACTGTTCTATGTGAGCGCCGATGGGAAGCAGGAAATGTGGAAGTATACGGGTGTCGTGGTACAGCAAGGTAAAGCAAGACAATGCAGGGAGGCCAAAGCCAGCGGGAAAAGAGCCGAGTGCCGTGCGTGCCGGTCTCATGAAGGGCCTGACTTTGTCGTTCATCGTTATCATCTCAGCATGTCCGTCGAAGCGCAGCACGGCATTTGCGTGGTCGCGCCTCTTGTTGGCTCACCTGCCGGGTCTGGTAGATCCGACCAAATAGCAGCGCGGTCGTTGTGCATGCTCAGAATGACGGCGTTGGTTCGAGACCGACCAGCCCCTCGAGGGCACTTGCAGTGCTCACAATGATCTCAACAGCCTTGGCGGGCAGATGACTGTCGGCGCTCACCCAGTTGAGGGGTAACCTGCTCAGAAGAAAGTGGCCATCACCATAAGGTCCGAAATCATCATGTGCACTGCCGAAACCCTCGCCGAAGCCGACACCGTTGACCTGTTCCCAGGCATGGACCTGGGTCCAGAAGCGCCAGCAGAAGAATACGAGTAGCACTGTCAGGGCATGAAGGAGATAGTGGAGCTTGGAATCTAATTCCTTCCTGGATGTGGAGGAGACAGGCTTATATAGTGCGGTGTAGAGCTCGAGCGAGGTCAAAAGGACTCCGAAGAATGCAAGGAGGAATGCAAGCAGTGCCGCCGAATGAACGCCAACAACGAGCATGAGTAAAAGCACGAGGATCTGCATGGACCTGGCCGATCCCTTCTTCTGCGTAGTGGAGACAATGCCAGGGCTTGTGGCAGTCGAGATGGGCCAAATGTCGACGGTTGTGGTAAGATCGCTCGTTGCAAGTGTGGCTGGTGATGCTGCAAGCTCGTGGGTCGATTCTTCCTCAATCGGCCATTGTGATGTGCGCACATCTAGGTCGCGGGCATCAGTCCGCTTCAATGATGTTGGGAATGGGTAGATCAGACAGCGCGTTCGAGACTTCGAAGCGACTCTAGGCTGGGCCAAACTCTCAGGTATCGGTACTTCCTCCCAAGAACCGCGCTTATAGGCAAGTGGCGGTTCCATGCTCATAAGATGGCCACTCTCGTGTGCTGACGTTGCTGGTCTAGCATTGGGCTCAAGACATCTCCTGATCTCACCGTATTTCACCCGGTCCGTGTGAGGATCTGTAACGCAAACGCGGCCTGATTTTGGGTCGACCTGAAAAACTGACTGCTTGAACACGTGCATTGTGAGTCGCTGGAATGCAGGTGATAGAGCAGGCGCTGGCTCGGCTGGAGCAAAAATCGACGTTTCTTCGAGGTGTGTCTGGACCATTTGCATTCCACCGGTAACGTCTGCCTCGATCGGTTCATAGTCGGCATTGGTGATGTCGGGATCCACAAGCGATGTAGGCTCAACATCGATAGACGAGAGACTCTTCGCAGTCGTCCCGGAAAAGGGCAACGCCGGATTTGCGGGCCAATCTGGTGCAAAGTCTGCAACTGTGTCTTCAAATATGTCGAGCACAGGTCGAATAGGAAGAGGCAGCTCAACGCTCGAAACGCTGCGGGCTGGTGAGTGTTCGAGAAGAGAATCCTGGCGTGCGCGTGGTGGCGTGGCCACAGCATCGCTGACGGACACTGTAAGTTGTGGTTTGGCAACCTCGTGAGGAGTAATGCTAATGTGATGCGTACTAGACAGCTCGAGTTCGACTTGCTCCATCACAGCGTCCTCATCATCAGACAAAGCACTCTCCGACTGATCGTCGTTGATATCGAGCTCTGCAGCGAGAGATTTGTGGCTAGCAATGCTGATGCTACGAAGAACCACTGGCCGTGAGGTGTCAAGCTTACGCATAAGCTCGTCGTTGTCACGCTCAAGCGACTCGATGCGTTGATCTCTGATCGCGATTTGGCCTGCATGCTCTTCCACTTGAGTAGCCAGAATTTCAACCTGCTCTTGAAGCTCCTGCTGTTGCTGTATCACTCCATCTTGGGCGGAACCAAGCTCGTCCTGTAACATTTCCAATGCTTCTCGGTGTTCAGCTTCGCTTTTTTCTGATTCTTCCAAGGCCTGACGCGTTTTCGCAAATTGCACTGCAAGCTCATGACATTTAACAGCTAGGGCCTGGCGCCTCTGTTGTTCCTCTTTCAGGTCTACGAGGAGACGCTCGTTGTTCTCGCTGAGGTGCTTCTCAACCTGTTTCTGGTGGTCCAGATCGAATTGAAGCTTGGCACCTTCACTGCGCACCTTAATCAACTCTTGCTGGCATCCATCGGCTTCGTGTTTAAGACCTTGAATTTCGGGAATCGCAAGACTGAGGCGCGTTTTGGCGTCCAGTAGGTCCTCCTGCTGTCGGTCGCTGATTACCCTCGCCTCTGCGAGACCGGTTGCGACACGCTCCTCAACATGTCCAAGAAGCTCATGGTGCTCTTCTTCTAGCGTATTTAGCCTGCTTGAAGCGGATCGGAGTTCTTGGGCGTTGCGTTGGGCTTCCTCCCTCAGCTTCTCGAGCTGTTCTTCGGCTTCGGCGCGACCATCTTTGGCCTGTTGCACCTGGCAATGGAGCTTGTCCTTCTCCGCTTCAAGCTCCTCGTTCTTTGCTTCTAACTTGTTGTTTGCTATGCGGTGGCGTTCGTTCGTTGCATAGCAAAGCCCCTCGAATTTCGCTATGAGCTCCTTCCGGTCGCGCTGGCATTCGACGTGGATGTCATTGGTGTCACCGGCGGGGTCGGACACGTTGGCTGGGTGACCCTGGTCTGTCTCGGACTCCACCTGAAACTTCCCGTTCTCGGTCGTCGAGTGCTCCCGCTCTTCCTCCAAGTTCACCACCTCTTCTGGATTTGCCGTCGAGCCTTGCGCCATTTTTTGGGTGTTGAGGAGATCATTTGCCATCTTGCGGGCGATCCTTTCAGCCATTTGAGCGCGCTTCGTCTCTCTTTCAGCCTCCTTGGCGGCCGCTTTGACCCGCGCCACACCGTTTGTGTTGTTTGCGTCGCGCAATTCGCGCTGCAGCGTTGCGTTCTCTCGCTCCAATCTTGCCAGTCCGGCCCGCAGGCTGACACCAGAGGGGGTGGATTGCGGGATCTTAGATCCGTTGAAGGTGAACGGGTTGAATTCGGCCATGTCGGAGACCGTTTGGTGATTCTGTCGGACCGGCCGAGGAGAGGTTTGAACAAAGGCTTTGTGACAGCAAAGGTGTATAGGCAGAGGTACTTCACGGACGGAGAAAGAGAGTCAAAGAGCAGGATTTGGTACTAAAGGAATGAGTTTCGACTTGCTAGGTGACTGCTATTGTCCAGTTATGACAATAGGCCGAGCTCTGGTCTGAGATGAAGGCAAGCATTCCAGGATTCTTAGTCACTGAACACCAGCTTGTTCACCCAGAACGAGGTCTTCCCCTGTACCCTGCGCCTCCAGCCTCTGACTTGTTTTGTATCTTGGAGTCACATTTGCGGGTCCTCGATCGCCCTCAGACACCCCGACTTGCCAGGCACGTGTCGCTCAGCGCAGTCCCAGAACTTTCCTGGTCTCCTTCCCTTCAATGGCCGATCGACCCCTTGTATGACCTTACTCTTCTTTCGTTAGCTACCGAATACGGGAGCGGGGTGTAAAGTGGAATCTGGGAGTCCGCGACTATCGGTATCGATCTTTGTGTGGGTCGAATGCTTCAGCGCGAGTCGCCACTGCCGGCCAATATATTGCATATCGTAGCTGATTGTCCTGGCTACCTGACACAGCTCGGCGACTCGATTGTTCAGCCTGTTCATGATGTTCTGCTCGAGGCTTGTCGAAGGCTTGTCTAACAACGAATGCAGCTGGTATGCTCGAAGTGCACGTGGTCTTCCGCTGCACAGCCCGAACCCGGATTTTACTATCTCTTGAACGTCGAAGCTCAGTAGGATGATCGTCTGTCGTACTTCTGCCGGTAGACCGAGAAGGCTAGCTTTAGGATAGTCACTATGGTGAGCCCTACGAAAGTCGACGTCTGCAGGCAGAACCCATAGACTTGATGCGCGTTCCCTGGCCAGTCTTTTTCGCGCCGCAGCCTTAAGTCACTACAATGTTGGTTCGCTCGAAATTTACAACCTCCCTTTGGCGAGCGTCTGCCTTCGTTTCCGCAGCTCGCGCTCATGTTGGTGCCTTCGAGCTTTGGCATCGACCGTGCTGCTGTATCCGCTGTCCATGCTCAACTGAGGTGCGGTTTGGTGGGTCAAGCATTCGTTGTTGGAAGAAGAGGTTTTGCATTTCGACAGGTCGTCGCTACCTGAATTCCATGCCACGCTAGCGCAAGGGTCTGGTCTGGGGAAGCCTCAAAGCATGACGCACATTACGTCAGAATCAGACAGAACGTTCGTTTCACTTCATCAAACGTGAATAACGGCCAATGATTTATGTTCAGCAATGACCTACGACAGTCAAACAGTCAGCAGAAACGGTGTTGATGGTGCTGGGCCTCTCTGTGGCGCACTCGACACGTAGTCTACCTACACTAAAGTCTCGTCTCTTTCTGGATCCCAGTACGTGCCACTGGTGGGAGTGCGAAGGCTGACCCTGTAGCAACAGATGTGTCTGCATACAGTGATTCCCATGAGTAAATAGGAACACCTGCGTTCCGTTTGTGAAAGATCAAGTTTCCGAAAATGCTATTATCAGCATGCCTACAGTTTCCTCAAGATGTACTGCAAGATCGGTGCAATGGGTACAATTCTCGTGTGACCCAATGGGTATTTGGTCATGCTCTCCCTGAGCACCTGGCCAGCCTTTGCTGCAATATGGTATGACCTGATGACTTTTACCTTCGACGGCTGGCCGACCATTTCTTGTTGTGCAGCGACATGTCGCATTTGCAACATGTGTTAGGGCATCCTGAAACGATGAGATACTGTAAGGTTTAGTCGTTGTTGTTCCGTTGTAGAACCGGGCCCTTGATGTTTGGTGGTGATACTGTCTTGCTCTTGATGATGCTTGCGCTGCGCTCGCGGCCTCATTGCCGTTATTCGTTATATGTAGTTGGGTCACATTCGCACATTGAGATCGGCAAAACGGGCCGTTATCTCGAACGTGTGGAGATCATCGTCTGGTAGTCATTCGGGTCTCGGTGACAGCTTTGAAACATCGCATGTGCTCTTGTGACAGGTCCCATCCTGAAAGGCGGCATTTTGGTACGCTCTCGTCGCTCACCTGTTCTGGTTAGCGTCTTGTCGCTGAATAGCACCGAAGGGACACCCACAGTATTGCAATGGAACTCTTGGAGACGATCGAACACCCTCTTGAGGTATCATGCCGAGCGCCAATGCTCCGGAGTACGTATGATAGGAGAAATACCGCACGTATATGATAGGCCTCACAGCGGTGCCCAACCCGGCATTACCGGCTACCCAAAGAATAAGCAAGCATAGGTATGTGTGTGCGTATATTAGAGACCTGGTCAAGAGGAGTTCTCGAGGACGTTGGTAAGCTGCACTCACGACCGTGAATTTGAATAGCAAGCTGCCCTAGGCCCATTGTCGACAGTGACCCGAGGAAGAATATGATTCTTAAAGATCTGCAAGCTCCAAGTCCCATATTGCTTCAAAGGGATACCGTACAAGACTTGAGAATGCTTACCTTAGACAGATCGGAGATGAAGTATGACAGGTGGTGGCTAGCGTGCTGCAGGCGTTGACAACTGGGGAGTCTGAAGTCGTACAGTCGACATGTCTTACGCACAGCAGCTGCGCGTAGATGTATTGTTCAAAGCAGGCCAAAAGGATGCCTGCAGACACTGTGTCACGAAGCCACGTGCCGTCGCCCTCAGTGCCTGAGAAACAAGGGTGCGTTGCGTGATAGTAGCCCATGGCAACAGAGTGAAAACCGACTAATAAGGGCCAGCCACGACATGGAGCATGAGGAGTGGAGTCTCCAAAATCTGCGGCAGGCGGGAGCGATCCCATAGGTAGCGATACTGGAGAACTTTGCAGCGGCTCTCAGGACCGAGGCTGTGGCCTGCACAGGTGGATGCAGTTGCAGCCTATGGCGGTCATCTCTTGTATGAAATTGTCCTCTACTCCCAAGGTCCAGGAGTGATGCAGAACTGCCCAAGAACACTCCTTTGCATGTTCTCTTACTGTCCGAGCTCGGTTGAGAAGGCGTTTGCAAGCAGAGGTGCGCGAGTCGGTGAGCGGTGTCTTACATAAGGACGCCCGGCCCTGGCTGATTGGGCCCGACAGAACCGCAAGGCTCGAACATATGCAACGTCACAGTCTCTGTAGGAAACAGACAAAGGCAATCCCAGCAAGCCGGTCGTGGTGGTTGAGATGATGCAAGGTTTCAGGCGCTGGTGAAGAAGTATTTGCATCGGGCCAAGCCGCCCTTAGCCACATCCGTTCTCGAGGAAGGCAGGCAGCACTGTTGATTTCGACGGAACCTCTTACTTTGTATCTCTTGCTGCACAATACTGTGCCTTTGCGAGTTGCAAATGACCATTCGCTGCACAAGACAGCCGATCGAAACGTGGTGTCATCAAGGGAGACTTGCAGCGGAGTTTTGGTGGGCACCAGCACAGGTTGGTGCCCAACGCGCCACTGCAGTGGCCTGGCTCCACAGTTCTCGCCCACCTGAGCTGCCGCAAAAGCGGTGGTACCCAAACCGCGCGAGGCCAGCTCGAGCTGCGCTTTGAATGGGTACCTGAGGCCGCTGGCGTGCTGGCGTATCGAAATAAAGTAGATCGGGCGCCTCCGGAAAGCTGCAGTGTTTTCTGCCCCTTCCTCGCTCTCAGAACGCTACCCATCGCCATCGCAGATCGACTCGAACACCGGCTGCTTCACGTTGCTGTAAGACACTACCGTCAGCCCTCGCGCCTGTCGTCTGCTTGCTGCCCGACCGACTGACGTGCAGCCGCCCGCCGCTGTCGCCTACCGTCTCGCCCAATCGTGACCCCACCCTCGCTGCAACCGGCCTCCCAAGACCCTGCTGACTACCAGCACCTCGCGAAAGAGCCGCACAATAACAGCGACCCAGAGCAGCTTCCCCAGTTGTTCGCAATCCGAGGAGTAAATTGAGCGCGCGCAACTGCATTGCCGCGCCATCTTGTATCGCAGCCAGCTCTCCGTCGTGGTCACGACAGCTGCATTTGCACCCCACTAGGAAGCTGCAACCTCTGTACTTAGGCCTGCTCCACGGTCTCCCAAAACAGGTCGCCGCAGCCACTCATCACGCCCCCATCAGAACCCACCACTGTCACAGGCCATCTCGCTTGTGCGGTATCTTGGTCTTACCCCCGCCTTCTACTTCCTCTGGCGCTTGGAATAACCTCCTGGACACCACCCTACGGAATAATAGGCTTCTCTGTCATTGCCATCCGAGCTGACAGCATTTGGTCCCAGTGCCCCTCCTTGTCCTCTTTGAGCCTGGCCCATTTCGACACTGACATCAGTATCATCTTCTCTTTCATCAATCACTTCTCACAGCCTCAGCCAATATGTCGCGAGCAAATCAGTGGTTTGTTCTGGGCGATGGCATCGCACGAGAGGTCATCACGGCCGATATCCAGCGCTACCTGGGTCCTGATGCGCTTGTCAGGCCTGGCACAGGCACCGGCGAATACCAGGTTGGACTCTCTTGATGCTGTCGAGCTGCGGCTTTGGACTAACAAACATTTAGGGCCAGCCAGGCTACTGGATCACCGCATATCGAACGCTCACTTCGGTAAGCTTGACCATGCGAGCACGCTGATCGCAGGCCTATGCTGACGCTTTTACAGCAAATGATCCAGGATCTGAAGATGGATTCGCAGCGCTGGCAGCAGGAGCGACAGCCAGGCGAGGGACGCGGAGGTAGCCACAGTCCTTATCTTCGCGATACCAAGGTATCAAGAGTCCCTGACGCTGTTCTAGCTTACCAAGACTCGCGCACCCACGCGGCGCGCCAGCACTGGGGTCCCTCAAAGCCGGTTGAGCACCCCTCTGCTGCAGACCCTTACGACCGCCAGTCTGCTCCTAGGGCATCATCCGGATACGCAACATCGGCGGCATACGCACCCAGTGAAGGACACTACACAACTGCCCCGGTTAGTTATGGAAGTGCGCAATCAGGATACCAGGCTGCACCATCCTCGGCCGCACCCAGGACCCAGCCCGCGGACCCCTATGCCAGTTACTCGCAACGTGAAGGATACCAGTCCCAGGGTTATGGTTCTTACCCATCGCAGTCACCAACAGATGCCTACGGCCGACCTACCGCCGCCCCGACATACGCGACCCCAAGGTATTTTGGATACACCGACGACATCTTTTTGGTCTATCGCTAAGCCCCCAGTAGTGCTACTCCTGCTCCTGCTCCAGGCTACTACATTGCTTCAGACGGTCGACGTAAGTACCGATAGCGCTGTGCGTGCCTGTCAACGCCATACTAATACCAGGTCCTCAGAATACCCATTGTCACAGCAACCACAGCCATCTTCCCGCAGCTCGCAATCTGGATACCGGAAACACTAGGCCGGTGCTCAAACCTGATGAATGCGCAGCAACTGGAGGCAGCCTTCCTGTGACTGTCAGCCTTCAACCACTGTTACTCCGTCATTTTCTGTGCCCGGAGATACCCTTTTGTTTTCCGGAGTTCACACCTGGATCTGAATATTTTACTACTATAATGGGCCGTTTTCATACCCACAAGGAGCCGTCAGGAGTTAATCGATTTCATCCGAAAGGGTTTCCGGATAGATCATGAATTCATGAGCAGTTCATCGACCATCGCGGAGATGCCATAATGCAGTCAATCGAAAGTTTATGAGTTATGGCCGTCCGTCAACATTACCATGGAGATGTCCTCATGGAGTGCCAACCTTAACAGGATTCAGGCTCGACCCCTCGGACCTCTTCTTCATCTTTCCAGATGGGCGTAAGCTTGTTTTCCAAGGACCTGGATTCTCAGCGAGACCTCTTGTACATCGCGACGCTCTGCCGTCTGCACACTGTCTCAAGCATCAGTTTCGGCTTTTATCGTGCGCTGTCATATCGTGGTCATTACGACCTGAGTCATTGCTGCATGGCTGCGTCCTGGATTGGCTACATCTTCTCTGCATGTGCTTCCCCCTGATAGGGATTTCCTTAACCAAAGCGGTATATGTCCCGGTGGTTCCTTGCTTTCCAATGCATGGCATGCGAGGAGTTGGGGGAGCCGTGTGGTGACTAGGATGTCAATGACGTTCTCACGTAGGCTTTTCACATGTGCTAGAAACATGTTTTCGAACCATTGCGCAATCTATATACGATTTGCCATCTACCAGCTCTGCTGATGTTCAAGGCCCGTGTCGTCTCACCCGATGTCGAGCAGAATTTGCGTGCCAGTCTTCCGGACTGGTCGCAGTCTATACAGTACAGGCCACTTTTCAATGCTACGCCCCACGCGACTGACTCGCTAACCCGCTTCAAGCCTTGGGTTGAAAGCCGCACGATCGCCTTCAATCCTTTGCTGCCTTGGCATCCGACCTCTGTTATTTGTCGCGATGTTTTTGCGTTGGAGGAAATTTGCGCTGCCATCTACACCTAGGTGATGTCTGAAAATCCAGACTGCGTTATGTCTCAAATTGACTACCACCTGCGTCAAACCTGCACATCACGCGTCAGACCTGTTGCTGTCCGTTGATCGGCACGGACACCATCAGCCCACACTTTGAGATCTGCGGACGTTCACCGTACTTCAGAGTACCGTCAAATGCCGAAGCCCGACCCTAAGTTGGTAGACGGCATCGGGAATTAATGCCTGCGATACAGCCGTTGCGTGCACATCGACCTCTTGCAAGCATCTTCGTTGCCTCTCGAGCATCCGAAGTCCAAACTCGTGGTTGATCTGTTCTTCGTCCGAAATATCAGCACGTCAGGGCCATCTTCTATGCTGTCACAGTGCGTGCGCATATAGACTTCAAGCCTTGGTGACGACGATGGGCATCGATGCAGAAGTGAGCAGGTCCAGACTCGTCCTCTCGGCACGGACCTTGTGTATAGCCGCCAAATTGCCTGCCCTCTGGCGTCAAGTGACGAAGCGGCGAACGCTTTCGCACAGCGATCCTCAACGCGAATCTGACACTTCCAGATCAGGCTGGGTCTTCAACGCGATAGCCAAGGACTTCGACAAAATCTTATCTTATCACAACAGCGATCAATGCTCTCTTCACTTACCTGAAACGGCCTCCATCACATTCGCAACGATATCACAGTGCTACGTCACCTATCGCGACCTTATCTGCACCTACGCTCAACGTCCAGGGCCATTGCATCTGTAGGGCAGAACCTCGGTCCAGCTTTCCTCGATCGACATCATCGCCGGCGGTACCTTTCCCCTTCGCACGGCGTTGCACCGAGCCCCGCAAACTCCAACCCTGAGCGGCCGGCGCTCGACCCTGAACGATGTCTTGCGCCCTCGTGATGTCTCCATACCAAGCCACCGCGCCGACTTTCGAGGTTTAGTCCCGATAAACAGACAGCCGGCTTCGGATTAATTGCCAGGTGCCGTCTGGATACAAAATGGAGTGCGCCGCCGCACTGCTGCAATTGCGCGTGCGATTGTCCGGTTCGCTAACATGGTCGCTTTTTCGAGGTACTGCGCTGCGCTGACGCTGCTGGGATGTGGTGCAATGGCGAGCCGAGCACTCACGAAGCGTAACGACACGGAGAGCTACGCGAAAAACCTGTTGCACGAGTCCATGGATTGGATGGACATGTACTACGATCCGGAACGGGGTTATTTGTTCAGTCTCGCATCGGCGGCACTAGTCCACGAGACAAGATCAAGCGCATGGTACGCTGCGGGCCTCTTGGCCAGGAACGAAGCGGACGACGCCGAGCAAGCGGTGCGCATCGTTACCAATATCATTGGGGCCCAGTTCAAGAACGAAAGCCTGCAGTGGTTGGTGCCCCTAGCTTCAAAGATGATTTGCAGTGGTAGCTAATAAGTGCAGGTACGGTGACTACCAAAAGTACCCTGAGGAGCCGACAGTCGGCACTGCACAGTACCCGAAGAACATCTACAACTCTTGGGATCCCAATTGGCGCGGATTCGTGGGTACTACATTCGTCCTTATGCTCGAAGAGTTCCCGCACCTCATTCCACAAGAGACGCAAAACTACATGATCGAGAGCCTGGTCAACACTACCATTGGAGACAGCTACCGCGTGGGCGGTGTCGACGATGACAATCTGTACCCTGCGTACAGCAACCCCTCGATCATGCGAGCTTTCGTGTCTGGTTGGGTCGGCCGCAGAACAAACGAGTCGAACATGACCACTGCCGGCGAGACGTACGCACAAGAAGTCGTTGACCTATTTAAGCGTGACAACACTCTCTCTGAGTTCAACTCGGGTACCTATGCCGGTGTGTCGTTGTATGCTCTTACTCTCTGGGCAAAGTACATGCCTCAAGACAGTGTCATGGGTCAGTACGGCCCCGAGATGATCAAGTACACATGGGCCTCCCTCGGAGAACTTTACAATGCCAACTTGAGAAACGTTGCGGGGCCCTGGGATCGCAGCTATGGCTATGATATGAACAAGTATCTCAGTATTCTCGCACTGCAAATGTGGACTCTGGTCGGCAAGGACAAGGCACCCGTAAACGCGAAGGTGAGTTTCTGATGCGCCGCCCCTGTATACATGATGCTGACGACCTCGAGCCGTGGGCCATGGGCCACAAGGACGACTTCGCCATCTCTCCTCTCATCGCGATTCTTGCGCCCTTCCACAACACACTCATCTCCAACACCACTCTGTCCGCGCTCACAACCTTCCCTGGCACTCACACCGTCAAAACATCTGCCTTCTCTCCGCCATTCGACAACTACCCACGCAACATCACTGCCTGGATTAGCGACAACATGACAATCGGCGCTGAGAGCTTCTCCGAGAACGTCATCGGCGGTCCAGCCAAGAGCTCCTCTTCCTTCAACCCAGCGGTCGTGCAATGGGGTAGGAAAGACGGCAGCGTGGGCTGGCTCACCCTGTACGCCCAGGTGTATGCTTTGGATGCCGCAACTGGCGAAAACTACCTTGACTTGAGCTATCCGCGGGGTAACTCCAGCAACGGCTTCTCATTCTTGGTTGGCACGAACAGCTGGGATGGCAAGCGCGATGTTGCGTCGTGGGCAGATGTGGAGGGTATTAAGGTCAATGTCACTGGTACGGTCGACCAGAATTTCACGGTTACGTTCAATGGTGCGAATGGTGGCGCGGGAGATCCTGTTAACGAGTTCGAGTTTTGGAACTTCACGTACCTGATGCCGGGGGGAAGTAAGGCGGTGCCGCAGGTGAGACTGGAGTTTGAGCTGGAGTATTAGCATCGCTCCGGAGTCCTAGCGAAGCAGCACCTTGGCAACGGGCAGACCTAGATCAATACTTGAGTATTAGCTTATTGACAATAAGACCATATTCTCCCTGATTGTGTATTGATATCGGCCGTCGACAGATTGTCGAACACGGCTGAACAGTGTGATGGGATTGCCGCCATTGGCGAATGGGCATTAAGACTTTTTTCCGGGGCTCAAATCAAGGTAGAGAAGTGGTGGAAGGTGGATTGACTACTCTCGCGAATCTCCTGAACCACAAGTCTAGCGGTTCATGCGGTATTGCAACGGGATTTTGCCGGCCGTTGGTCTGTTGACGTAGTACGTTTACGCGAGAAAGACTGACGAAGATGACTGCATGAACGCGCCTCAGCCTCCAAGACAGTCACGTTTTGTATCGCTTCGTGACCGGTCTGGTCCGCTACACACACGAGGCATGCAATAATTGGCCGAATCTGAGTAGAAGAATCCGTCAGCGCCGCCCGACGCCCCGCGCTGTCTCGCCTGACCACCAATCATTTCCACCAACAGAATTTAGAGACCATGAAGCAGGGTTGCTGAACTCTTTTGCATAGTCCTTGTGCGCTCTAGCTGCGTGTGTTCCTGGAGCTCCCGCTGCGCTTTGACCCAATGCGGGCGTTCATATCTGCCCTATGACACTATGGACTATACCTCTCTCGTCGGCCTGCCGTGGGCCTGCCGCCTATGGTCGAACTATTCGTGGCAAGTTGGCGACATCACAGCACCGCCGACAATATGGCACCTTGAAGCTGCTATAAAGCGCCTGCGGTGCTGTTGTCTCTGTTCAGTACTCTCCAGGTCGGTTGTCTTCTGAACCGTCACTGCAATTGCATACGCAGGCTTTAAGTCCTCGACATAGTTACCATGCCTTCAACGAACCTCTCATAAACCACTATCAGAATTCTTGCCCGCAGTTTATTTGGGTAGTCATTTCCTACATGGCTCACGACATTAGCTTTGCGTCTCGCGCAATCGCTACACTCGCAGCAACATCTTTTATAGACATCCTTGGTGCAGTACCCGGCGTCGCAGCTGTAGTAATAGCCATACTAGCTCTCTGGATAGTATTTCTTCAACTACGAAAGTACCAGGCACAGCGAGGGCGATGCCATATGCTCTTCGAGCTGGATGCGTGAGCAGCTGCATCACGTGTGAGTGCTTCGCCTCCTGTATGCTCCAAGTCAGTTGACATCGGTCTAGTACTTGCTTTGCAACCGCTTTCTGATAAGTTTACCTCTCAAATAGGCTGTCGGTATAGTTGAGGCTGGGAGTAGCAGAGGCAATTTCAAGCGTGAGACACGACTTTCGGGGACGTTGTGCACGTGGAGATCAGACAGCCTGTAAGTAGCGTGAAGAGAAGATATGACATCGAAGAGACCAAACAGATCAAAATCACTGCGATGGGGACGAAAGCACTGTTTGAGCTAGCACGCGCTTCTCATCTTTGATTTCATCTTCGGAGCCAAGAAAAATTGCAAATTGTGAGCAAGGCTCCAAAGTGGCAGAGTGACGCAGAAAATTGTCAAGATGGGTAGGCATATTTCAATCTGCTTTGAGTATCTGCTACAACACAGCTACTGTCAGGCTGTCGGAAGGCGTCTAGAACGCTAGCTGCGACATATTCTGCTTTCATTTCCTTGGCAAGTAGGTAGACTTTGCTCTGTGTCCAGAGAAGATTACAGTACGCATCCTTTGCAAAAGCCATCGGCGCAGTCTCCTGCAACAGCTAACCTCGAATTGTATAGCAGCTCAAGTGGAGCACATCAACCAACGTGACACAGAAGCTTCTAGGGCTCTGCGCCCTGCAGCGAGAATAACACAGTGTGGTATCATTGTGTCCGTCGAATTGTTGACGTGCACCATGACCCCTGGTCTGAACTATCGCAAAATATCCAGCGGCAGAGTAAAAATGTGTGGCTGTGGGTTTGCACGCAATAGCTCTTTCTGCTTGATGAATGTCTTAATCGCAACTGCTGAACTTGCGTACATTCCCTGTCTCTCTTGTGCTCAGCTGTTTAAGGCATAATCATTGCTCGACAGCTGTATTATTTCCGGCTCGCTCGTCTTGCTGTAGGTCCGACTTCAGAACATAGAACATAGACTTGCCTTATGAGTTATACCTCATACATTGTACGGACTGTGTTGGGTATCATGGCTCTTCTAGTAGCGATGCTTCAGCTACGAAGCAACGACGCCTGCGACGTCGTCCTCATCTTCTCCCTCTCGATACAAGCAGTACACTGCCGTAGCGTCCCGGGGTATGTGTCCTTTTCGGCAGGCTACCACCGTGATTACTTATCGAACAGCGCAGGCGTATCTGAGGCGTCGATAAGCGTCCGCGTGAATCCGGAAGCTCTTCACAGTGATCAGCCGAAGAACAGCTTCTTCTGACCCTTCTCAGAACTCGCTGCCTCACCTCCTCTTGCGCATCGGCCAGTTCCGCTGCCAGGTGGCCTGCCCCTACCTCGACTCGGTTTCGGAGCCGCTCGCTCTTTCGGTACCGGGGGTGGAATGCGCTCTTCATGCCGCATCTCCTTGGACAAATCGAGTGCAAAATGGTAGTCAATATGCTCAGCCTCCTCAGCTTTGGGCAGGTGGAGGTTGCACTTGGGACAGAAGTACATGTTGAGTGTCTTCTGCACATCTGTGTTTGAGTAAGGCAGAAGTGCCGGCGGGATCGGGGGCACCTCAATGCGAGAATTATGATGGAGAGGTGGTGAGTCCGGAGGCGGACGTGGTTGTGCTGAGGGTGGCGTGGTAGCAATGTGTATGTCTTCTTCAGTGCCATGGCGATTTAGCGTTGGTGTTATTGGTCTTGTAACTTCGTCACTGCGAATGTTGTCCGATGCATCTTCTTCATCTTGATCGTCGACATCGTCTTCTGCCTCATCCCTTGTGGACTCACTGTGTTCCTTCATCAAGACTGCTCTTGCTGCGTCGAAATCTTTTCTCTTTTCATCCCTTGGTCCGAAGAACTTGGCGATGTTACCCTTCGTTCGTCTCTTCTTTGCTGGTGGCTCACCGCCGCGGTCCGAAGACATTATGGCTTTAGCCTGTTCACCGCGTACGAGGAACCCGCCAATGCCGGCGTTGTTCTTTGGTCCATCCTCAAAGCCACCTACACTCAACGAGAGGTTGGCGCATGGCCATGCTCGACCATCGACAACGACTTGGGCCAACAGATTCTTGGCGAGATCGAAAAAGATGGCTTCTGAAAGCGCCTTACCCTGCGGGATCTGCGCTGACCTACTTCGTGTTTGTGCACCTTGTCGGTGATGCAACACAATCGTCTTCGGCCTTCTCCTGTTCTCCAGGACACCTTCCTCTACACATCTTGAAAAGATGTCGGCGACAAAGATGCGGATCCACCGGACGCCTTGTTCGAAAGAGTTGATCGATGGTCTGAAGGACTTCGCTGACAGCATGCTTTTGATTTGCGTTCGAGTGTTGACTTCGCTATTATCCTCTCCTCGGATGATCGAGTATAGCCAGCTGCCCGTATCGTCGCCAAGCTTCTTCAGCTGAACCAGCGGTTGCTCCATCAGGTCCTTGACTTTATCTGTGCCAAACATAGCGACGACCTCGTCGCCCAGCTTGCCACCGAGATTTCTGATATTCGTGAACTTCATGTTTGAGAGGAAGTGCTTGACTGCTCGGTTGCGAATGACAGTCTGCTGGTTGGGCTTCTTGTATCCTGAGCCTAGCTTGGCCAGCATCTTGTTGCGCGCAACTCCACCAGAACATGTGTAGTGTAGGGTGTCTTCGATACGTTTGCGCACATCTCGAACGATCTCAGATGCAATGACCATGCAAACATCATCCCAGTCAGGATCTTTGTCTTCTCCATCCTCCTCCCCAGTCTCGACAAGCGCATCGGCAGCCCAATCCAATACAGTAGTCGGTACTTTCGGCAGCGGTTCTGTGGAATCGTCGTACGGCGGCGGTCCTCTCAGCATGGGGTATCTCTCCAACAATATGTTGTGCACCTGCGCACTGAGATCCATAAAGACCTCATCAATGCTAGCTTTTTCCACGCGCTGCTCCTTCTCGGGCAGCGCTTCTTTGATGCACTTCAAGATCCTTCTACTCTCTAATCGATACGGGTCAAGACTGACTTTGTGTGTGGCCATATTCGCAAAGGAGTCCTCATGGTACGCCCACTTCTCGTCGCCTTCTTTCCATGTCGCCACATGCTGCATAATGAGCTCTGGGCACTGTTTCAGCGCTTCCGTCGACGTCACATGTCGGCTCAGACCGAATGCGCGCGCAGGGTAGTTGATCGCAATGAGACCCTGCCATTGCTGGACTGCGAGAGGTTTTGCTGGGTCAATGCCGAGGCGTACAGTCTCGCACTGCGCGTAGAAGGCATCAAGATCGACGTGTGCGATGACTCGTAGGGGCGTTTGCGTGCTGTACGATTCCAACTGGTGTAGCTGCTTGTATGTGAACTTCGACTTGGGGATTTGGCGCGGGGACGTGATCGAGAGCGAGGAGGAGACGAAGAACGGCGCCGGCGAAGACATAGTGTGGTCGTTCAAGGCATTTTTGTGATCGGTTGTAGTAACGTCGAATTCGTTGTGTCCTTCGTTGTGAGATTTGTTATGACCTACGTTATGACATGGGTTCAGTTGTTGTCCTGAAGTTACCATGATGCTGACGCGAGGCGCGTTCTCCCGTGAGCACGTGCGCGTCTTCACGATCGATCAGGTCGCGCTTACCGCTTTGGACACGCCGCCAGATCTCCTTCCCACACCATTGAGCTGCACGGGTCCACTAGTCGTCGTGACGAGATGCGCCAACTCAGCTCCAGTTCCAGAAACACTCAAGCCACACAAGAATAATGTGCGCTCAGACGCACCAGTCACGGTCTTGGAAAGCGTCGATGTCGTCATGATTCCAGGACTAACAATATTCGCTCTTTGTGGTATCCTACTTATCTTGATGTTTGACGTTGATCGTTGACCTCATAAAGTCATTTACGCAGATTAAACCCGTCCTCAAGATCATGTCGTTCCTGAAGACCGTCCTCAAGCCCAACGTCTTTGTACCTCTCACTGGCAATATCCTTGCAATTGGATCCTCGACATACTACTTGCAATCAAAGATCAACTACAATCTCGAAGAACAAGAAGCACGCCTGGACGAAATCGAAGGAACACTACGAGGTCACATTGGTCTGATCGAAGACGCGTTGGATCGGATTGAGGAGAAGCCGAACCAAAACCATCAGGAGAAGCTGTACAGTCAAAGAGCGAGGGATGAGAAAAAGGAGAAAGAGCAGAAATAGCGCGATGTCTGCCAAAGGATGAGACGGCTCGCCCGAATAGTGCTGCCCAGGAACAAGCAAACATCGACACGAAGAGGTTGTGGTTCCAGACTTACGTCTTGCGATCATTTTGTCTTCGTCCGAGGCTTTCACTCTGCCTAGCTCATTATGCATAATGGCTCTGGCGCCCCGTGTTGACGTAGCGTGAGCAACCACTTCAATATCACCACTGACTCGTCCATTTCGTGTTCTCTCCAGACAGAATCCGCCATGGTCCTTGCTGGAACGTGTTTGCAGTATATGTAGAGTCCGGGGTACATATTACTGGCGCCACGGTGGTTCTACGACGTCTCAGACTCTGCCTGATGGATAACTCGTTGTTCAGTGTTCGCGCAGGCCCCGAAGTCCGTATGCTGAACAACCGCACGCAGTGTTCGCGGGACACCAATTACAGCTCGCCGCAGTCTCCGCCCGACCCGCCGCGAAAAACTCTTCATCTCTCATTCGCTATCCAACAACAAGTTTGGCACGAACCTCCAGCTTTGCTTTCGTCGCAGGCGATAAGGATTGGCACACAGAAATCAGAATTGGAATTTATAAAAGTATTTCCGACATACTTCTTCATCGAAAGAGCATTAGCAAGCCCGGCTGGCACAATCGGTAGCGCGTGAGACTCTTAATCTCAAGGTTGAGGGTTCGAGCCCCTCGTCGGGCTTAATCTTTTTATTCGAAACTTGAGTCGTTCGGTCAATAACGGTCGTGGAGACACCTGACTTTTTGTGTCCGGGGTGAAATAATGGTGGATGGCGCTGGTAGCGCTAAGGACCGGCACTCCCTTGTGCGCCGGCACCACGAAGTAATTAGGGGACGCGCCTGCTGGAGCTGAATTGGACTTACCTTGACTACCTTTTGTTAGATAGGAAGGAACGAGATGCTTCCTTGGTGTCAACACAAATAATCAGGCTATTTCTTGCGGAGAGATGCTATTACAACTGGCTCACTGCTTGCTGCTTTTGCAGCTTGTCTTCAATGCACTTTTGCAAGGTCTCATATGACCCTAGAGATTTTCCGCACCCTGTACCATGCGCTGCCATGACGGGTGAGGTTGCCTTCCTTTGCACCAGCCCGTGGCACAGGGTCAATATCATACGACCAGAGACGCTACCATTTCAGTCTAGACAAGCTGACGCACTCCAAACATCTGAGGAAATGCGCTGCAGCTCATGAATCGTTTCTCATTGATATTGTAAATGTCCCGTGTCCAGCGCCCAAGCTGTCCTCTCGTGCAATAACCTCAGCAGCCCAACACCACTCAATCACCAACTCCCTCCTTCTTCAATCTCTGTCCAACTCGCCCAGCATCTCTCTTGTGGCACTCAAACTCTGACTATCCCCGTAAATCGCCGCAATCAAGCTCCCATCGATCTTCGGAAACTCGCGCTGCAAGATCTCCACATTCTCATCATGCTCGTCCTTCCTGCCTCGCGCCTCGTAACTCTGCATAACCTCAATCTGGTGACTCCTGTCCTGGCCCTGTGGCAGCGCGAGATCCGTGCCGGTCCGGCGCGGCGGCAGCCCGGGAGGCACTTCGTAGTTGTTGTCGTTTAAGCCCTGGAAGTTCTGGGTCTCCGAATTGTGCGGAGGGACGCGAAATTGGCGGCCAGATGGGTTGGAAGGGTTGGAGGGAGGTTGTTGCGGGTCCGGGTTGAAATCAGGTGATTGGTACTGCGCCCATGGGTCCGCGTCGTTGGAGCGGTCTTGTCCGAGGTTGTGGCCTGATGGTGGCTGGTCTGGAGGCGTGTACTGGTTGTGCAAAGTTTGGTCTTGATATGCAGAGTAGGGATTGTGGTTTGTGACGCCTTGGGCTTGTGCAGATGGTGAGCTTTGGTAGCCGTCGCTGCCTTGTCGCGTCGAGGTGTACTCGTCCTGCCAGGGGTTTGTGTTGGAGGCCATGATGGAGCTGGTAGTGCTTGAACAGGCGGTCTAGCTCTTGGAAATCGGGTCTTCGGGCACTGTTGTGTTTTTGTACACGTCTTGCTGAGGCTGTGTCGTGTTGAGAGGTCTGGAAGCAGGTGTGAGGGGTGACGTATGCAGATGCCCCACTACACAGCCACTTTACCGGTATCTTGTGGCGCGGTTTAAGTTGATTTCGAAACGGCGTGCATCCAAGAGATGAAAACTTTAAAATTTTGCCGTGGGTACACATGCACAAAACCTAGGCTTGCAGTAGGACATCACAGCGGGAGTCATGAACCGTGACCATCTATCAACGCCACGTTCGCAGCGCAACATCTTCCTCCGTACGCACGGAGAACGCCATGGAGATTCAATTTCACGTTTCATCGCTTCAGCTCCGCGAACCGCCTCGATAATTCGTCCACATCTGGTATCTTCCCTCCTGGCCCATTAACCTTCACAGATGCCTTCTTCTCAGCTGCTTTCTGCACCTTCGCCGCCGCCGTACCAGGCAGCTTGAGCTTCGGCGCAACATTGTCCGTACTTGGGCTCGGCGGCACAACTCTCAACGGACTCTGCGGCCCTACCGTCCTCGGTGGTGTCGCCTTGACCAATTCTTCCCTTTCATTATCCTTCCTCCCGTCAGTTGACGAAGGAACCTCTGTGTCTGCTCCTTCTGCCACACCTCCGCTTGGCTCGTCGTCGCCGTCGTCGTCTGACGAGGCTTTACGTGCACCGAACGGGACACCGTAGAATCGTGCGATCTCGCCCAAGTATCCATCTACCAGTTCCTCGCTCGGTGTCTTTGCATCCAACTTCTTCAGCACGCGCTCCGCTACACCATCGCCCTCCATAGCAGCGACTGCTACGTCCTTGCCGAACTTCTCGACAAGGTATGCCCGCACTTGGTGTAATTCCTTGATCTCTGTGCGCGGCGCAGCGTATATTATGCTTCGTACCGCTTCTTCGAGCGCAGGATCGAGCGGAATGGGCGTGGAGGAGTGTGAAGGTGTGGTTTGGTCGAGGAGCTGGGAGCGCGCGAGGAGAAGTTCGCAGTATAGTTCGAGGATCTCGTGTAGTTCAGTGGTTATGTCGCTACGGATGATATTTTCGACGCGTATTCGTGCGGATTGTAGCTTGCCAATCTGTGCTGGGTGTGAGCTTGCTGCCGAGTGGTGGTGATGCGCGTTAGTAGGGTGGAAGGTGGGTGCCTAGCAGCACAAAATTGGACGAAAGCGCAGTCGGAAGCTATGCACACCTCGAGAAGCTGCGCCATTTCACGCCTTTGCTGTTTCGCTTTCGCTGTGTCTTTCTGCTGCACCATGCGTAGCCGCGATATCGACAGCTTGAGCTGCACCTTGAGCTTGTTCTACGCGAGTCAGCTTGAGCTCCTTCCACTTTCGAGATGCACTTACCGCTAGTGACTGTGAGGGTGCCATAGTTGCAGATGTGTGAAGCTGAGGAGGGCCGAGAGGAAACAAGAGAGGACCAGGGCAGTGTGGTCGAGATAGCTGGGGCGCGGAGCAGGAGGGTAGGATGCGGAAGCATGGCGGGGTTGGCGCTGCGCCGAGTGGCTGTGCCACAGCGCATCATTGGCTGCTTGGCTCCTAGCTCCGAGCATTAACCAGCTCGCAAGGGGTGACGTGGAATCAATCGAATTGCTGTGGTATCGCTGAAATTATGCTGACTGCCTTCGTATGACTCCAGAGATGAACCACCCCGAGCCGTGTAGCCGTACACTCCAAACGCCTAGCTGAACGTATCGGCACAAGTTCTCACAACGCCTGGATGCCCTTGAAGAAGCCGTTTGCATGCAACGCCTGATTCTCTCTGACCAGCTCGCGCATCCGCTCAACTTGCTGTTCCTTGGTCAATCCCTGGCTCTCGACCTCCTCCTTCCACTTGGCGAGCATGGCCTTGAGTAGCTTACTTCCCTCTTCGACGTCTTCCTTGCTTGCCTGCACAAAGCCTTGCTCGTGCTTGCCAGCAAAGTCCTCTAGCTCGTCTGCCTTGCGCTTAGCCATGTTGATGACCTTCCGTGGGAAGCGGACCAGCTCAGCGACGTCGATGCCGAAAGACTGATTGGAGAAGCCTGGCTCTACCTTGTAGAGAAGTGTTACCTCGCGCTTCTTCCGCACGCCGCTCTCTGTGTCCAGTGTGCCTTCCGATATGTGTGCGACAACGTGGAGGTTCTCTACTTGCGAGTATGTCTTGGAGAGGGCCGTAAGCTCATGGAAATGCGTTGCAAAAAGTGCAAAAGCGCCAATCTCCTTAACGATATACTCGGAGATGGCCCATGCTAGACCAAAACCGTCGTATGTGCTTGTGCCACGACCCAGCTCGTCGATGATAATGAGAGACTCTTTCGTGGCGGACTTCAAGATGTTTGCGGTCTCCAACATCTCTGCCATGAACGTGGAGACACCTTTGATCTGGCTGTCGCTTGCACCCACCCTCGCCAGAATGCAATCGTAGATGGTAAGTTCTGCTTCTGAAGCTGGCACGAAGCACCCTATCTGTGCCATAAGAGCGATGACGCCAATTTGCCGGATGTAGGTGGATTTGCCGCCCATGTTGGGGCCTGTAATGATGAGGAATTCGCTCTCACTGCGTACCAGGCTGACGTCGTTGGTAATGAAGGAGATGTCGTCCTGCATCTCCAGACAAGGATGTCGCGCCTCCTTGAGGATGGTGTCGCCTGTACCGCGCGGATGCATCGTTGGCCTTGTGTATGATGTGGGCGCGTGTACAGACACATGTGCGAAGGCGACGATGACGTCGAGATGCGCAAGCACGGCTGCCAGTTTCTCGACGACTGGAACATATGAGGACGCAACAGCGACGACCTCGTTGACGAGTCCAGATTGAGTCCGGTTGTAGTTCTCTGACAGCTGATCGAACTCTCTACGCTTCTCCAGCAATGACGGTGTTGTGAAGTAGACGCCGTTCTTCTGTGTCGAGATCTCCTGGTACTGCTTTTTCTGACGGATGCAGCCTGCTTCATTCCTTGTCAGTCTGAAACACCACCCGTGAACCTTGTGATTTTCGAGGAAGAGCTTCTTCTCTGTATCCTGGTTAAGGTCGTCACCGGCCCTTATGTGTTCAGATTCCATCTCACGCTTGAGCCTATCAAGACGCTTGCGGATCGTTCGCAATGCCTCGTCGAACTCTGGCTTGATGATAAACTCGTGGTTGTCGAGTGCATCGAGATCAACAGTCGTCTCGACCATGTCCTGAAGGCCCACAAAGGCTGCCGAATACTGTCGCAGCTTGGAGGTATACTCGGCATCCAAAGGGTCTTTGTACTGTTCGTCCATGACCGCATCAAGCGACTCCAGAAATCCAGGGAGCCGAATGATGACTTGATAAGCACGGACAACGTCCTCCAGGTTTGCTGCTTTGCGTTGGAATTTCTTTGCAAGACGGTACAAATCTGGTATTGATCGTAGATGCTCTTCCTGTATCGTCTGACGCAGCTCTGTGTCGTTGACGAATGCTTCCACAAGTTGCTGGCGTCTTTCAATCTCAGCCAGGTTCATCAGAGGCTGTTTCAGCCATTGTGAGAGCAGTCGACTGCCTGTGGGTGTCTTGCAGTGGTTCAACAGGCCGTACAGGCTCATGTTCTTCGCTCCGTCTCTAGGTCCCGGCATCAGATTGAGCGCCTTCAGAGCTGCTGCATCGAGCTTCATGTACTGTGTAAGGTCGTGCTGATACAGCTGGTACTGGCCAAAGTTGGATGGGTCGGACATGACGCCAAGGTACCTGATGAGACAGGCTGCTGCCCCCATGGCCAATTTTAGATCAGTATGGGGTAGTGTGCCTGCTGCACCGTCATCCTTCAGCAGGCGAGGCAGGTCCTGCTCGATGTCCTTTGTTCCGTAATCCGCCGCACCTCGCTCTGCCACTGCGCAGCCACAGTTATCGGCGATCGTACGCAGCTTGTTGAGCTCCACATTCTTCTTGTTTCCATCTGCTTGTATGAGACACTCCTTCACACCGAGCTGAATCAGGAGCGCTTCGAAGTTCGAGTAAAGGTCGTTGTCGAGGAATTCCGTCACACCAAGCTCGCGTACACTGGCATCAGCGAAGCAGACACCAATATTCCGAGCTTCTGAAGCTTTGGCAGAGATTTTGACAGCGAGGATGATTGGCGAGCTGTCAACATGTCCACCAAGCTCGTCCTCGAGGTCCTGCAAGTTGCCCGGTGATGCCTGCTTCACTACTTTCCAGTCCATGCGCTTGCCCGTCGACTGCCATATCTCGATGCGTTTGCTCAGCCGGAACAATGCATCTCGGAGGAAATTGCGGAAGACCATCGTGGTCATGGTGACTGATTCGAGGCCGGGTTCTCGTCCCAACTTGCGGAGTACAGCTGTCGTGCGGTAGACCTGCGTTCATCAGTACGCAGCATAGACCTCGGCAAAGTAACACCCACGCTGTTTGCAATGAACTTCGCATCTTCTCCATGGGCACTGTAGTAGTCGCCTCGGTCGAATATCCGGACGGTGTCCTCGTCCTTGTGAGACAGATTGCGGAAGAACTTGCAGAAGCCGGACTCATCATCCTCTCGCATCTCTGGACGGGACGCCATGGTGTGCTTAAGTGTCCCTTGCGAGTCCTTAAGAGACGTGAGAAGAGTGTGAAAGTGGATGTGGGGAGACGCGCCGTGGTTGGCTCGTTCCATGCAGGCGACGCGTCGCGTCATTGACGCGCTACCGGTACCGTACCTAATGGTTACCGGTACCGTGCACGGACACCGGGTGGGCCGGGTCACCAGGTGGGCCACCCCACCAACTTTACCACCTCACCAACAGTGAGGCTACAACACCACGTAGAGTAGATATTATTATATAAGAAGTTGATGAAATATACTATCTGCTACTGCGAGACTTTTGGCGTATTCAGTTTTTTTGTGGGCTTTGTGACGCGGCCACCACGAGTCCTGAAGCCCGGGGGTGCCGAGCTGGGCTCATGAGACTCCTGTGAACTGCCCTTTGCTGCACCACCACCACGCTTTGTTGATTTTGACCGTGGCTTTGCTGAGGCCTTG